GAGAGTAAAACCAGACTGCAGAGTGCAGATGGTGAGGAAGTAGAGATTTTTCAGTTCATTAACCATTATCTTTTAAAACAGGAAAATAGTATTCATTGTAGAAAGTCTAGATTGTTAACAAATCTTTAAGAATCTGCTATATGCCAGGCATTGGGCTAGGTGCTAGGATATAAATAATTCTTCTGTTCATGAATAATTATAATTATTCATATAATTAAAGGTGCCCTGGTGGCACAGTGGTTAAGTGTCCAGCTGCTAACCAAAAAGTCGGCAGTTTGAATCCACCAGCCGCTCCTTGGAAGCCCTATGGGACAGTTATGCTCTGTCCTATAGGGTCGCTGTGAGTCGGAATTGATGCCACAGCAATGGGTTTTATTCCTCAATTCCTTCATGTCTTCCCTCCTTCTCTGCTTATACCCCATGACCCATTATTAAAATCACCCTTGTGAATATATCTTCAACAATCCTGCTCCTTTTTCCCTTTATTGTACTCCTCTAACTATAACACTGGCTAAATTCATCTCTCCACCTATTCTCTGCTTATATACGGGCACCTGAATGTGGTGAGAAATATACAACCACACTGACTGGTCTCACATTAAATGCATGATTATTAACCTCAAGTGGAGCCCTGGTGGCACAGTGGTTAAGGGCTACGGCTGCTAACCAAAAGGTCAGCAGTTCGAATCCACCAGCCACACCTTGAAACCCTATGGACCAGTTCCACTTCATGCACCTAACAACAACCACCTCAAGTGGGCCTTTAATACTGCCAGGCTGAACTTCTTCATTTCCACAATCCATTTGCTCTCCTACAACTCTTCTTCAGCCTTTTAACTCTCCCTAAAGAACTTGCCTCCTATTTCACTGAGAAAGTAGAAGCAGTTAGAAGAGAACTTCCTCATACCTCTGTTGCCACAGCTGTCAGCATATTTGCACTTGAATGTGAGTACTCTCCATTTGTCCTGTTCCAGTGGATGACTGTTCCCCTCCTTGTCCAGGGTCAGCCTATTTGTGGACTGGATCCTATCCTATCCCTTTAATCTACTGGAGGACATTTTAGGAATTATCTTGTCCTCTCTTTTGGATCAACAATTTTTGTCGCTCTACTGAGCCATTAAGGAGCCCTGGTGGCGCATGGTTAAAGCACTTGACTGGTAACCAATAGGTCGGCAGTTCGAATCCTCCACGGGAGAAGATGTGGCAGTCTGCTTCTGTAAAGATTTATAGGCTTCAAAACTCTATAGGGCAGTTCTGCCCTGTCCTTTGGTGTCTCTATGGTCAGAATTGACTCAGTGGCAGTGGGTTTGGTTTGGTTTTTCTGAGCCATTTCCATCAGCATACAAATATGCTGTACTATCTTCCATTTTAGAATAACAAAGAACATTCCCTTAACCCTATATAGCTTTCTAGATAAAAGCCATATGCCGTCTAGTTGACTCAGATTCACTGCAACCCCATTTGTGTTAGAGTAGAACTGTGCTTCATAGGGTTTGTAATGGCTGATTTTTTGGGAAGTAGATTGCCAGACCTTTCTACCGAGGTGCCTCTGGGTGAACTTGAACCTCCAACCTTTGGTTAGTAGCTGAGCACTTAACCATTTGCATCACCCAGAGACTCCTCTTTCCAGATACTTTCCTATCTCTCTGCTCCCATTTATAGTAATATTCCTCAACACAGTTACCCATAGGTGTTTCTACTTCCTCTTTATTCTCTTGAATCCATCCCAGTAAGACTTCAGTCCCTACCATTCCACTGAAACTGTTTAATCAAGGTCACTTAGTGATCTCTACTTTGCCAAGCCCAATGATCATTTGACCCAGTTGATCATTTCCTCTTTGTTGAAATGCCTCCTTAATCTGCCCAAAAGCAGAGATGAGAAGCCCGGAAGGGGTAGGAAAACCAGGGAGAAAGTAACAGGGAACCCAGTCAGAAATGGGGAGAGTGCTGACACATTGAAGGGACTGTGACCAATGTCTTGAAACACTCTGTCTACAAATTGTTGAATGGCAAACTATTTTGCTCTGTAAACCTTCACCTAAAGCACACACACAAAAAAGATGCACTATAATTTGTCATATGCCAAAAAAACCTTCTTTATTAGCTTTTAGGATTGTTGTTGTTATTAGTTGATATTGAGTTGATTCTGACCCATGATGATCCTATGTGTGCAGAGTAGAACTGCTCCATAGGGTTTTCAAGGCTTTGACCTTTGGGAAGCAGATTACCGGGCCTGACTTCTGAGGTGCCTCTGGGTAGATTTGAACCACCAACCTTTCAGCTAGTAGTTGAGTGCTTAACGGTTTGTGTTACCCAGGGACCCCTGCTTGTAGGAGGCCACTCTCTTAGTCTCCTCTTACTTGGCTTCTTCTCGCTTTCCTTTGCTGGTTCTTCCTCATCTCCCTCACTTTGCTGCACTCCAGGGTTTAGATCTTGGACTTCTGTTTTCCAACTATTCTGATCTTCCTAGGTGATCTCTGACTTTAAACATCCATCAGCTGACAACTCCTGTAATTTATATCTCTAGCCCATACCTCTCACCTGAACTTTAGACTCTTCAAGTAGACTGATGGATTTACATTTCCTCTTGGAAGTTCAGTAGGCATCTCAAACTTAACGTGTCTAAGAAAACCAAAAATTTTCCCCTCCTTTAAGCATATTACTTTTATGTAGCCTTCTTCATTCTTCTAATTGCTGAAGACAGAAATCTTGAAATCATCTTTATCTTGTCTATTTCTCTCACACCCATATCCAACCCATCAGCAAGTCCTGTCAGCTCACTCTTCAAAAGAGATTCATATCCCTACCATTTCCCCTTACCTCTACTGCTACATCCCTGGTCATTACCTCCACTGCTACTACCCTGGTCATCATCTCTTGCCTAGATTATTATAGTAGTCTCCCAACTGATCTTCCCATTTCTAGCCCTGCCAACTCCCAGTAGACTCTTTTTAACACAGCAGCCAGGGTGAGCCTTTAAACCACAAAACAAATTATGGCACTCTGCTCAAAATCCTCTTGTATTTCCCATCTCACTCAGTAAAAACCAAAGCCCTTACAATGGTCTGTAGGCCATTATATGATCTGAACTCCTTTTACGTCTCTCACTTTGTCTCCTACTACTCTCTGTCTTTCCCATCCCCAGCATCACCGGTCTCCTTGCTCTTTCTTAAACCTGCCAAGCATGCCCCTACCTCAGGGGCTTTTGCGCTTGATGTTTCCTCTGCTTGGAAAACTTTCCCCCAGATACCTGCTGTGCTAGCTCCCTCACTTCCTTTAGAACTCTGCTTAAATGTCGCCTGAATAGAGAGGTTTTCCTTGTGCAACATATATAAAATAGTAATCCCTTCCACTCCCAGAAGTATCTCTTCCCTTTACTTTGCTTTAATTTTTTCCATAGGACTTTCAGGAAACCCTGGTGGCACAGTAGTTAAGAGCTATGGCTGCTAACCAGAAGTTTGGCAGTTTGAATCCACCAGGCTCTCCTTGGAAACCCTATGGAGCAGTTCTGCTCTGTCTTTTAGGGTCACTATGAGTCCGAATCGACTCGACAGCAATGGGATTTTTTTGCTTATTATTATTTGACATATTTAGTTGTTTATTTTTATGTTATATCTCAAATTGAAATTCTTTATGCTTTTTAGTACACTGAAAGATGGAGGTATGTTCCTCATGTTCCTAAACTGGAAGCTCCTTGAGAGCATGCATAGCATCTGGCTTGTTTACCACTGTATCCTCAGTGCCTAGTACAGTTCCTGGCACATGGTAAATGGTCAATAAGTTTTTTTCACTGAATTAATGCCCTTTTAACTTTTTCTAGCAGAGAGATCAGCTTGTATTTATGTGAATGTGTGTGTGTGTATATTCATAGTAACTGCATATGATTAGGTGGTCCTTCTAATGTACATTTTATAAGAATAGTCCATCATCCATATAAATACTGACCAATAGGCTTTGTTTAATTTAAATCAGTTCATAGGTTCAAACCTATTATATTCGATCTTTCACAAATTCCACTGCCTCGTTTATCATGTATAATAGCATGGCTTACAGAAATATGTAGGCATATCTCTTTTTTCTCATTAAGTCTGCATGTTGATATACACTATAGGAAGAGCTGAACGGGAATGTGCAGTATTTTGCTGTGATATAATGAATCAATCTGCTATGATTTTAGATTATACCTTATGGAATTTAAAAAACATTATAATTTTAAGCTTTGCTTGAAAATTATCTTTTAAGGGACCATTTGGATATGACTCAGTAAACAAAGGTGTTCTGAGCTATTCAGGCATCTAATTACACACTTCTAATATACATGGCAGTTCAAAAGCTATACTTTGTAAAACAATTGAATGACATTTGGATCGTCTACATGTTGTGATGGCCTAAGTATATATTCATTTCTGAGAATTAATAAGCAACCATAAAAGACAAAATAATGTGAGGTGCTAGATTAATTACCCAGCTATAAATCATTTAAGGAACTTTATTATGTTTGTGCATTAACAATAAAACCTTGAGTGGGTTGATGATTGTATAACAAATGTGTATCATCCCCCTTTGTAGAGAGATGGCTTCTGTTTCCCTCCAAGGCCATACTTCCACATATCTTTAGGCCCTAAAGAGAGTGTCTCTATCCCCCCTGAAAAAGTATTGATAGAATTTAAATTAGGAAATTCATCAGACAATAAGGAAAGGATTCAATGTACTACTGTCTTATTTTTCTTAAGTGATTATTTATGCTAAATTAGTTGATACTGATTGCTGTGAAGATATGTTGACCTTCAGAAACCAGGGTATCTTAAGGGCAAAAGAAATAATGTGGAAATAATATAAGATATATATTTTATGCATATAATTATGCCTTTTCACCCCAAGTAAAACTTGTTTATTATGTGACATCAAGCTTTATCATCTCCATATGACAGTAGTACTTCATAGTACTTTATTAGAATTTTGGGGGAAAAAATGTACAGTTGATGTTTTCTTGTTCACAGGAAGGGAGGCAATAATAAGTTAATAAAGATCTATCATCGGGATGGTAAATACGGCTTTTCTGATCCTCTGACATTTAATTCTGTGGTGGAGCTCATTAACCACTATCATCATGAATCTCTTGCTCAATACAATCCCAAACTTGATGTGAAGCTGATGTACCCAGTGTCCAGATACCAACAGGTATGATTACAAAAATTCTTAAGAGCTACTGAGTAAGCCATTATTTAAAATCATCATTTGGTTATAATTTACCAGGCTTTTCAGTTAAAAAACAAAAGAAATCTAGTAGTTTTATATTTTCTACCCTAAGCATTTACAATATTTTTGGAACTTATTTTATGACTACCTTTCCTTAATAGCTTACTGCATGTATATGTTAACCTTATATAAAAATATTTCTGTCAACAACAAAAAGACAAATAACCCAATCATAGCATGAGCAAAGGACTTAAATAGACATTTCACCAAAGAGGACATTCAGACGACCACTAAACATATGAAAAGATGCTTAACATCACTAGCCATCCAAAACCAAAACCCACTGCTGTCGAGTTGATTCCACCACATAAAGACCCTGTAGGACAGAGTAGAACTGTGCCATAGGGTTTCCAAAGCTGTAAATCTTTACAGAAGCAGACTGCCACATCTGGTGGGTTTGAACCACTGACCTTTTGGTTAGCAGCCTCGTGCTTTAACCACTGTGCCACCGGGGCTCCTTCACTAGCCATCAGAGAGATGTAAATCAAAACCACAATGAGATACCATTTCACTCCCACTAGGCTGACTAAGATAAAAAACAAAACAAAACAGAAAATAGCAAATGTTCACGAAGATGTGGGGAAATTGGAACCCTTATCCATTGCTGATGGGAATGTAAAATAGTACAACCATTGTGGAAAACAGTGTGGTGGTTCCGGAAAAAAATTAAAAATAGAACTACCATATGACCCAGCAATTTCACTCCTTGAAAGCAGAGATTCAAACAAGAGAGTTCATTGCAGCATTATTCACAATAGCCAAAAGGTGGAAACAACCTAAATGCCTATCAATGGATGAATGAATAAACAAAATGTGGTACATATATACAATGGAATATTATTCAGCCAGTTGGAGAAATGAAATCTTGATAACCCATATAACCCGTTGCCACCAAGTTGATTCCAACTCATAGTGACCCTATAGGACAGAGTAGAACTACCGGATAGGGTTTCCAAGGCTGTAAATCTGTACGAAAGCAGACTGCCACGTCTTTCTGCGGAACAACTGGTGGGTTTGAATTGCCAACCTTTCGGTTAGCAGCTGACTGCTTAACCACTATGCCAACAGGGCTTCAAAGTCTTGATACATGCTACAATATGGATGGAGCCTGAAGACATTACACTGAGTGAAATAAGTCAGTCGCAAAAGGACAAATATTATATGACCTCACATAAAAAGACAAGAACAGGGAAATGTATAGAGACCAATGTTTATTAGTGGTTACCAGGGGTGGGAGGGAGATGGAAAGCGGGGTGGTTATTACTTACAGAGTACTGAGTTTTGGCTTATGGTGATGGAGAAATCACATTGATTAAGGGTAGGATTGCACAGCCAATTATTGTAATTGCTGTCAATAGGTCGTACACCTGTAGAAATTTGAACTGGCAAAAGTTGTGTGGTACGTATATAACAACGACAAAAAAAAAAAAAGAGTAGCTGCTGAGGCTGCTTATGTACAACCAAACACCTCATGGAATTTGGTTCCTTGGTTTGGAGGATTAGGGTCATAGTTTCCTGGGGCATCCCAGTTAATTGGCCTAATACTGTGTTTAGTGTTACCGTTTTACCTCCTAGTTCCTTGCGTAGTGCCTGGGGTCTTAAAAGCTTGCAAGCAGCCATCCAGGACACAGAATTGGTCTCTATTTGCCTGGTGCAACAGAGGAAGGAGAGGCAGGAATAGGAGGAGTAAAAGGAGTTTGTGGCTAATTGCCTGCATGAACAACTACCTCTTTTGTTATGAAATCAGAAGAACTGGATGCCCAGTTGCCATTACCGAGCATTTTGATCAGAGATTTTATAGAAGAATCCTGATCAAAAGAGGGGAAATGCAGAACAGAATTTCAAATCCTCATGGACTCCAGACGTTCTGGAACCATGGAGGCTGGATGAACTTCTGAAACTATTGCCCTGAGATAATCTTTAAACTTTAACCTTAAACCAGAAATCTCCCCTGAGGTCTTCTTTAAACCGAACAATAGCTTAACTAGTAAAGAATGTCTGCCTTGAGCACTGTGCTCTTTTAAGATTTATCTATATGGGATCAAATTGACAGTAGGAATTTGAAAGATTAAATAGGAAACTTAGGGGCCAGTGAGTTTATGTTAATGTGGAAGGAACAACTCGGAAAAGGAGGGTGAGAATGGTTGCATAACTTGAAGAATGTAATCAGCGTCACTGAATTGTACACATAGAAATTGTTGAATTGGTGTATGTTCTGCTGGGTAATTCTCAACAACAAAAAAAAGTATAAAAAATATATTTCTGTTTACATTTCCCGTTTATACTTCATTTCTTTTTTTTCTTTATTTTGTTTTATTGTATTGTTGTACTTTAAGTGAAAGTTTACACTTTAAGTTAGTCTCTCATACAAAAATTTATACATACATCATTATGTGACCCTAATTGCTCTCCCTATACTGTGACAGCACACTCTTTCTTTCCACCCTGGATTTCCCGTGTCCATTCAACCAGCTCCTGACCCTCTTTGCCTTCTCATCTCACCTCCGGACAGGACCTGCCCATTTAGTCTCATGTATTTACTTGAGCTAAGAAGCACTCTCTTCATGAGTTATCATTTTATGTCCCGTAGTCCAGTCTAATCTTTGTCTGAAGAGTTAGCCTCAGAAATGGTTTCAGTTCTAGGTTGATAGAGAGTCTGGGGGCCATGCTTTCTGGGGTTCCTCCAGTCTCAGTCAGACCATTAACTCTGGTCTTTTTAGTAGAATTTGAGTTCTGTACCCTACTTTTCTCCTGCTCCATCAGAGACTCTCTGTTATACTTCATTTCTTAATTTTTAAAGTGTTAACTATTTTGGTGTGCTCCAAAGACTGATCTTAGTATTAACAAAAGGATCTAGTGCTTTTGCATGCATGGTATTACTATAGTGGCTTAAGCTTCTACAGTAGAACTACAATTTTAAAATAAGTAGGTGTTGAAAAATTCAAGTCAGAATTAACAGTCCCTACTTTTCTTGTTTACCTGTGTAGGATCAGTTGGTAAAAGAAGATAACATTGATGCAGTAGGTAAAAAACTGCAAGAGTACCACTCTCAGTATCAGGAAAAGAGTAAAGAGTATGACAGGCTATATGAGGAATATACCAGGACATCCCAGGTTAGTATATTTTTGTTGTTTGGTCCATCAGTATGCAGTGTTACAGTTATGTCATATTTTCTATAATTTACCTGATGATTTTTAGTTGTCTTAATATCTTAAACAGCCTTTTTAGACTTTGATGATATAAAATTGTCTACCATTCAGAAATCACTTTTTTATTGGTTAAAGATATATTTTATATTAGCACTGGAGAAGAATATCATGGTTGGTAAAGTAGACAGTCATCGAAAAAGAGGAAGACCCTCAACTAGGTGGGTTGACGCAGTGGCTTCTCCGATGGACTCAAGGATAACAGCGATCATGACGGTGGTGCAGGATTGGGCAGTGCTTTGTTCTGTTGTAAAAAGGGTCACTGTGAGTGGGAACCAACTCGACTGCACCTGACAACACCAACAGTATTAACGAGGATTAGGTTTGACTGCAAGTGACCAAAAATAACAATAATAAGGACTTCAGATGAAATTTTTTTTTCTTTTCATGCATATATAGGCAGTGCTGGGTGTTATGGCAACTCTGTAGTCATCAAGGCCTAGGACTTAATGCTTTGCTATCTGTAGAAGTTGGCTACTACAGCATCAGCCATCACAACCATATTCTAATAAACAGGAAGAAAGAATGGGAAGGAGATAGGGATGTTCCCTGTTTTTAAAGGAGAACATATCGCTTCCACTTTCATCCGATTGTCTAGAACTTAGTCACATGGTCACACCCAGCTGGGAAATGTAGCCTTTATTTGGTCAGCTACACCCAACTAACATTTGGAAGTTCTATTACTGAGGAATGAGGAATGAACAGAAATTTTGGGACCACTAGCACAGTTTTTTGTAGATCATAAACCTTAATCAGTATATTTCTTTTATTGCATTTATGATATACAGCAAAATTCTGAAGAATAATATGATTCTTTTCCTGGATCTCCATATTTCTGTTCCTACTTTTATTCTTTTTAGTTAGACTTGGATTAGTTTAATTTGCCCTCAGTTGTTACATGCTATATAAAAGGTGCTGAGAATTTTGATGAAGGTGTATATCTTCTTTTGAAATCTTAGGGTCAGTAGTTGCCTAAGAAAATATATTCAACTAGGTTTCTCATGCAGTCTCTTTCTCTCTTTTTTTTTTATTTTACTATACTTTAGGTGAAACTTTATAGTGCAAATTACTTTCTCATTCAAAAATTTATACATAAATTGTTTTATGACATTGGTTGCAATCCCTGCAATGTGTCAGCACTCTCCCGTTTCCACCCTGGGTTCCCTATCTCCATTCGTCCAGTTTTCCTGTCCCTTCCTGCCTTCTTGTCTTTGCTTTTAGGCAGGTGTTGCCCATTTGGTCTCATAGACTTGATTGAACTAAGAAGTACGTTCCTTATGAGTGTTATTACTTGTTTTATAGGCCTGTCTAATCTTTGGCTGAAAGGTGGACTTTAGAAGTGGCTTCAGTTCTGAGTTAGCAGGGTGTCTTAGTTATCTAGTGCTGCTATAATAGAAATACCACAAGTGGATGGCTTTAACAAAGAGAAATTTATTCTCTCACAGTCTCGGAGCCTAGAAGTTCGAATTCAAGGTACCAGCTCCAGGGGAAGGCTTTCTCTCTCTGTTGGCTCTGGAGGAAGGTCCTTGTCATCAATCTTCTCCTGGTGTAGGAGCTTCTCCCCACAGGAACCCCAGGTCCAGAGGACATGCTCTTCTCCTGGCTCTTGTTTCTTAGTGGTGTGAGGTCCCCCTGTCTCTCTGCTAGCTTCTCTCTTTTATATCTCAAAAGAGATTGGTTTAAGACACAGCCTAATCTTATAGATTGAGTCCTGCGTCATTAACATAAGTGCCACTAATCCCTCCTTATTAACATAGAGGTAGGATTTACAACACATAGGAAAATCACGTGAGATGACAAAATGATGGACAGTCACTCAATACTGGGATTCATGGACTAGCCAAGTTGACAGATATTTTGGGGGGACATAATTCAATCCATGTCAGGGTGTCTGGTGGCCATAGTCTTGGGGTCATGTACAGTCTCTTGAAACACAATTTATTACTCTGGATACCAAATGATTTATAGAAACCTTAGACCATGTTGATTCTTAATAGAAGTTCCAAGTGATTTAAAAGGATGGGTGTCGTAGGTTTGGCATACTTTCAGCCCACAGTAATGCAACAGTAACTTGCTTGAATCTTTTTTAGTAGATAGATAGTGGATTTTTTTGTATTGTTTGTTTTCTGTTTATGGAGTTCTGCTCTTATCTTTATTATTTTCTTTCCTTTGCTTTCAGTTAATTTGCTCTTCTTTTTCTAGTTTCTTAAAATGGAAACTTTGTTCATTGATTTTCAAAATTTATTTTCTAATATACACCTTTAAAGCTATAAATTTCCCACTGAGTGCTGCTTTAGGTACATGCCATACATTTTGTCCTACTATATTTTCAGTATCTTTCAGTTGTAAATATTTTCTGATTTCACTTTTTATTTCTTCTTTGACCCATGTGTTCTTTTTTAGAATTATGTTGTTTAATTTCTGAGTGTTTGAGGCTTTTCCAGATATTTTATTTCTATTTTAATTTTCTTAAAGTCAGAGAACATAATCTTTAAGGTTATAGCCTTTTGAAATTTATTGTGACTTATTTTATGATTAAGCATATATCTATCTTGGTAAACTTCCCACGTGCTTGACTGTATTCTGTACTTGTTAGGTACTAAAAAAAAAACAAACCATTGCCATCAAGTCAATTCCGACTCATAGTGACCCTATAGGACAGAGCAGAACTGCCCCATAGGGTTTCCAAGCCTGTAAATCTTTATGGAAGTAGACATCTTTCTGCCACCGAGTGGCTGGTGGGTTCAAACTGCTGACCTTCTGGTTAGCAGCTGAGCGCTTAACCACTGCACCACCAGGGCTCAGTTAGGTATACCAAAAAAACCCCAAACCAAACACAGTGCCATCAAGTCAGTTCTGACTTATAGTGACCCTATAGGAACAGGGTAGAACTGCCCCACAGGGTTTCTAAGGAGCTGCTGGTGGATTCAACCTGCCGACCTTTTGGTTAGCAGTTGTAGCTCTTAACCACTGCACCACCAGGGCTCCCAGTTAGGTATAGTATTTTATAAATATTGGTTAGGTCAAGGTGGTTGATATTGTCATTCACATCTTCCGTATCTTTAGTGGGTTTTTTTTGCCAGTTGTTATTGAGAGGGAGTCTTAAAATCTCCAATTATGATTATAGATTTGTCCATTTCTCTTTATGGTTTTGTCAGTTTTTGCTTTATGTATGTTGAAATTCTTCTGTTATCTAGTGCTTACACATTCCTGGTAAGTTTACCCCTTTATCATTATGAAATATACCTCTTTATATATGTAATCCTCTACTTTGTCTGATATGGCCACACCAGCATTCATATGCTTACTATTTCATAATATATCTTTTTCTGTCCTTTTACTTTCAATCTATTTGTGTCTTTATATTTAAGGTGCATCTCTTATGAACAGTATATAGTTGGGTCTTGCTTTTATTAATATCCATCCTGACAATCTCTGCCTTTAATTGGAGTGTGTAATCTGTTTGTATTATAATTATTGATATGATTGGGTTTATGTTTACCATTTTGCTATTTCTTTTCTGTTTTTTTGTTTCTCTGTAATACTTCCACTATCTTCTTTTAGGTCAGTCAGGTGTTTTTATTATTCCATTTTAATTCCTCTTCTGACTTTTTAGCTATACCTTTTTTCTTAGGCAGTTGCTCTAGGGATTACAGTTTGCATTCTTAATTTATCATAGTCTATTTAGAGTTTGTATCGTACCACTTCATGTAAATGAAAGAACCTTGCAACCGTATAATTTCATTCCCACTTCCTAATGTTTGTCATATATGTTACATCTACATATGTTATCAATCCCACAATTCAGTATTATAATACTTGTGTTAAACAGTCTGTTGTCTTTTTTTTTCCTACATGTACAATTTAGTGACATTGATTACATTCTTTGAGTTGTGCAACAATTCTAACCCTCCTTTTCTGAGTTGTTCCTCCCTTATTAACATAAAGTCACTTCCTGCTAAGGTTCCTATCTTATCTTTCTTTCTTTTTTTAATTGTGCTCTAGGGAAAGTTTACAGCTCAAGTTAATTTCTCATTCAAAAATTTGTACACATATTGTTTTGTGACATTTGTTGCAATCCCCACAATGTGACAACATGCTCCCCCTTTTCACCCCGGGTTCCCTGTGTCCATTTGTCCGGTTCCTGTCCCTTCCTGCCTTCTTGTCTTGATTTTGGATAGGTGTTGCCCATTTGGTCTCATATGTTTGATTGAACTAAAAAGCATGTTCCTCACGTGTGTTATTGTTTGTTTTATAGCCCTATCTAATCTTCGTCTGAAAAATGAGCTTTGGGAACGGTTTCAGTTCTGGGTTAGCAGAGTGTCCAAGGGCCATAATCTCGAGGGTTCCTCCAGTCTCTGTCAGACCAGTAAGTCTGGTCCTTTTTTGTGAATTTGAATTCTGCTTTACATTTTTCTCTTGCGCTGTCTGGGACTTTATGTTGTGATCCCTGTCAGAGCTGTCCGTGGTGGTAGCTGGACACCATCTAGTTCTTCTAGTCTCAGGCTGGTGGAGGCTGTGGTTCACGTGGTCCTTTAGTCCTTCGGGCCAGTATTTTCCTTGTGTCTTTGGTTTTCTTCATTCTCTGATCCAGATGAGATGTGACCAATAGATGTATCTTAGATGGCCACTCCCAAGCTTTTAAGACCCCAGACACTACTCACAAATGTGGAATGTAGAACATTTTCTTTACAAACTGTTCTAAGCCAATTGACGTAGATGTCCCCCGAGACTGTGGTCCCCACCCCCAGCCGCAGCTCCTCCATCCTTCAAAGTGTTTGGGTATGTCTAGGAAACTTCTTTGGACATGTTATCAGGAGGGATCAGTCCCCGGAGAAGGACATCATGCTTGGTAAAGTAGAAGGTCAGTTAAAAAGAGGAAGACCCTAATAGGATGGATTGACACA